GCTCGAGCGGCGGAAGTAGCGACCACCAGCCCAACTCGGTGAGCGCGCGGCCACGGGGGGAATCGCCTGTGGGCGCAGCTTCGCTCCCGCCGGCGAGAAACGCGTCCGGGGCGAGCCATGGCGGCCCGGGAGCCATGGAGACGGGCGCCGCCGGCACGGCCCGCCGAGCCTTGCGCGAGGACGGCTTTGGGCGAGGCTGCCACGGAGGGGCGAGCGAGCTCAGATCCACTGCGACGGGGACAGCGCCCTCCGCGCCGCCGTGCCAGCCGGCTGCGACGCGCGCCATCGCCTCGCCGAGCCGTTGCGCGATGTCCCCGCTCAGACCCTCGCACACGCCGGCTCGCTGTGCACCACCGGGCGCCGCCGCGCTCGGCAGGGCGGCGGCGGCGGCGGCATTCGCAGAGGGCGGCGGCAGGTCGGCCTCCCTCAGAGCCGCGTCCGCCTCAACCTTCATCTCGGTGTTCATGCTGTGGACGATGCGGAGCCGCACGTCGACCTGCTGAGTGGCGTGCGTGATCGCCTCCACCTCTCCGCGCACCTCCTCGTCCGCGAGCACGGCGTCGAACGAGGCGGTCGCGAACGACTCGAAGGCAAAGGCGGACGTGCGACGGCCGGCGCGCTTGAGGTCGGCCTGCACCTTGGAGAGGGTGAGGCACTCGCTGTCGATGCGGTAGCGGCGGCGGACGGTCGGTCGGCTCATGTGCACGCACTTCTCTTTGGCTTGCGGCGGCAGAACGGCGCCGTCACAAAAGATTTTCGGGGAATGCCCGCTGGGGGGAGACAGAGCGTTATATTTGTGAAATTCTTTCTTCCAGACAGAGAGGCGATGCCGACAGGTCTCGCTCTCAGATGATAGGAGGGATGGGAGGACTCCGGCGGGGGAGGTCATTGGTGTCAGAGAGAGAGATTTTTAGGCTTCTCGCCCACCGCCGTTCTCAAGCTGCGCCGCCTCGCGCGCAAAGCCGCGCGCGGCAGCGTCGACCGCACGGCCTACTCGCCCAAGTACTCGCTTTCTTTTATGTCCCACCATGCAGAGCGCATCTCTCTCTCTGTTGTGCGAGGCGTGAACCGCGCCATTCGCTCTCACCTGGCAACCCTGTCTGCACGTCTCGCGCGCGCGTGAACAGGGCTCCAGGCCCCAAATGACGTGTGAGTGTTAGAGTTGTTTGGTGTCAGTGAGAGAGTTACTCAGAGAGAGTACATGTTGGGCTGTCCGAGGTTTTCCTCTCGCACCCCGTCGGTTTTCCTTTCCTTTTTTCTCTACAACACCCTCTGTTTTCCTCTCTATTTTCCGGGGGAAACTCCGTTAAAATCGTCATTTTTTGGGCTCTGAGCTGAGTCTGAGGCTGTTTTGGGGCCAAAATCAGCAAAATCGGCAAAATATCGGTATTTTGCGGGTATACTAACTCATGGTACATACCTGGAAAATACCCGGGGTAGTTTGCCGATTTCCTCAATTTTGCCTCAGATTTTACAAAAACAAAACTCTCTCTCAGATTTTGCCCCAGACCAGCTCTCAGACTCAGGGAAACTTGCGAGTTTCCCGAGGGAAACTCGAGAGAAACCGAATGGAGCACCAAACACCCTCTGTTTTCCCGAGAAATTTCCGGAAACGCAAAGTGCTGGAGACCCTCTGTTTTCCTTTTTGTTTGCCGGAAAACCTCGGACAGGCCAAGAGTACATGTAGCGAGAGTCAGAGAGACGAGAGGCGCACATAAGTCATAGGACCCGCCATACACAGCCATCACACAGAGAGGGACACGACTCGGCTGAGAACTGGGAAGCGTCTCGAGCGAGCTGACGACCCAAAATATGCAGAGAGGCGGTGTTTTTTATCTCTCTACACTCTATTCTCTATGTCGGCACATGTGCCTTACGAATTCAGATTCCGACCAGTGACGTTGGTTCTGTAAGGTAAGGTAAACTTATCCACACACACAAGGTAGGCGCGGCAAGGGGGGGCGACCCTCGCCAGACCCTGCGTCGCTCCTCCAGGCAGGGACGGGTGTTCTCTTGGATCTTGCGCAGCTGTCTGACGGCTCCGCCTCGCGCCCGCGCCGCCCGGCGAGGCTTCCCCGTTCCCGCCCGCCAGACTCGCACGCACCACTCGCACGCGTCACGAGACTCACGACATCAAGACGCTCAGCAGCTTCTGCTTGGCGATCTCGTACTCCTCCTGCGAAATCGCGCCGCCATCGAGGAGCACCTTGAACTGATGCAGGCGGATGAGCTCCAGCTCTGTGGGTATTTCATTCGGAGCTTGCGAGACGGGCTGCCCGAGGGGGAAGTTGCGCGTCGCCTCTTCGAAGCTTGGTGGGTGGAGCTCGTTTGCCTGATCCTGGTTGGACTCCTCACCGGCCTCGGCTGCCTCCGCCTCTGCCGCCACCCGCTTAGCCTCCGCCACCTCCGCCTCCGCTGCCACCCTTTCCGCCTCCGCCGCCTCTGCCGCCTCCACCACCCACTCAGCTTCCATCGCCTCCGCCGCCGCCTCCGCCCTCTCCGCCTCTGCCGCCACACGTACAGCTTCCGCCGCGTCCGCCGCCTCTGCTGCTGCGTCCGCGGCCTCCACTGCCGCTAAAGCAGCCGCTGCTGCTGCCCGATCTGCGTCGTCGACGAACGCGATTCCTTCGTCTTTCTTGATCGGAATGTCGAGAGCGACACGCTTGAAGATTAGCCGCGGCATGGCCTCGCCTAACGAGTCCCCGAGAGCGTGTCATCGCGGGGCAAAGCGATCGACTTGTTGATTTTTTTCAATTCCTCCCAAGACAGCGAGAAACACGCGTGGCACGAACGGGGCACAGGACGCGGCACCTCCACAGGTCGGACCTTTTAAGACAGCATTGTAGATCCCAGGCGCCAGGGCGAGAGGCGGATTTTTTCCATCCATACTCGAGTAGCTACGGGGCCCTACTGTGTGATCTGTGATCTGTGATCTGTGATCTGTGCACCCCCCACCGGGCGGCGGCGGTGGCGGCGGCGACGGCGGCGGAGCGGGCGGCAAGGCGGCCAAGGACCGCGAGCGGGTGCGCCCCGACCCTCCCACCCCCCCAGACTCCGACGCCGACTCGTCGGAGGACGACGACGTGGTCGAGATCGCTCGCGTGATGAAGGGGCTTCTGTTTCTGCGTTAGGTAGGCGGCGGCATGCGCGGAAGCAGACAGAGGCGGACAAGCAAGGCAACCGCGTTGTCGGCGGCACGCGTGGAAGCAGAAGCGGTCAACGCTAAGCGATCACACTTCCTAGGCGATGCTGATAGAGGCGCAACGACGCCCGCCCGACTGGGTGGCATACACTGACGGGTCGGAAGACCTAGGGAAAGCAGGGTGGGCCTATGCAGTACTCATCGGGGGCGACGCCATCGGCGATGAGGGCGCGTCGCTGACGAGCGAGGGCTACAGGCCAGTTGTCACTTCGTTCGGCTGCGCACCCAGCCTAACCTCGGAGTACGCGGCGGCATGCATGATGGGGCGGGTGACCCCCAAAACGAACAGACAGCTGGCGGAGCGCCTTCGTTCCCTCTGGCAACGCCTTCGCGCCAAACACACCGGGACTTGGAGGCATGTGGGGGGTCACAGCGGCAACAAATGTGGAACGACTACGTCGACGAGCTAGCTGCTCGCGGCAGGCAGGGTGACAGAGGCTCAAACGCTGCCGAGTGGGCAGACAACACCATCCCGACGGACACTCCCGACGAGGGAAGCAACGCGGAGAGGGAAGCGACAGCAGTACCATTGGACACGGAGCAACAGGCGGCGGCCAGGACTCGGAGAGGGAAGATGATAGCGACGCCGACTCTGGAACGCTGTGTTGCCCTTGAGCTAGTCCTTCCCCCGTCGCCTAGCCTCTGCGCGGTCTGGCGAACGCCTGTATGCCATGCGCGCGGACCACGCTTGCGTGGATACGTCGGGCGCCCACTGACCCAGAGATCAAAAACGCTCGGCCCTGGCCCGGTGCACCGGGGTGCACGTGGGTGAGCAGCCTGCCTGAGCTCCCCCCGACCACCCTTTCTTCGGCGAACTCCGCCGGCCATGCCCCCGAGGGGCGAGGGTCGCAGCCAGCGCCCGGGCGGATGAGCCAGCGGAGGTGATTAGTTAGGAGCTCGATCTCTGACTCGCTATGTGAGTGTTCGCGCGCGCCTCTGAGTGACGAATCGCTGTGGATTGATCAAGACT